CAAGGTTTTACAACATACATGTGAACATTTAGGAGACAACTTCATCAAGAAACATGAAGAGTCTGAGATTTTTCCCTTGCTTTTAAGCTAACCAGATAGCCTGCTAAGATTTAATAAATGCCAGCAGAAGACATAAGGCTATCAGGAGAGAGGCAAAGACCTTAATTACTCATGGCACTGTGGGCAACATAAGCTTCACATTTACGTTGGATACCCTTAGTCACCCCACTCCCAAGTCTCACAGGAGGAATGCAGAGTGGCCCAAGTGGATACTGCATGTACAGTGAATTTGTGTCACGGCTAAGGAAACTCAGTTTGGGAACCCCAATCTTATTAGGGGGCTACTAGCAAACCAGCCCGACCTTTGCCCAGGAAGGAGTCATTATCTTTATTATCCCATTAGAGAAATAAATCTGCTTTCTGCCCTGAGGGACTCAATATCTTGAGGCTGTCTGCTATGCAAAGCTCTTTGAACAGATAGTCTGGGACAAAAGCCACCACAAGACATGTAAAAATGCCATGGAGAACTACCATCTTAACAAAGTTTTAAATAATATGAATCATATTAATTATTAAGAGTACTTATATGATCCAGATTACTGTGTAAAATATGTTATGTACATTATCTCATTTAATTCTATCAATAGCTCTATGAAATAGGTAATATTATCCCATTTCATAGATAAGGAAATTGAGGCACTCTAAGATACGTAACTTGACCAAAGACTTAGGATTGTAACTCCTGTTTGTTTGACTCTTGGGTGTTTCACAGGCTCTCTCCCCACAAAAGACTTTTTCTCTGGTGTTCTCCATCTCAATCAATGACAGCATTCATCCAGTGGCCACAGGAGAAATTTGGGCATCATAATTTTCCTTTTTTTCTGGTTTCATAAACCTCCAAGTCCTATTGATATTTTCTAGTATATAATAAATATATCTTGAATGAGTACTTTCTGTTGGTAATATAAGTTAGACTACCATTATCTCTGGCTAGAATGGCTGCAATAGTGACTTCCAAATTGATATTGCAGTCTCCTATTCCACCCTCCTAATACTACCTCTTTTAGCTAGAATCAGCTCTCTACAAAGCAATCTGATGACGTTATTTCCCTATCTAAAACCTTTCAATGATTCTCCATATATTTATCCTCAGGTTAAATATAAATTCCTTGAACAGCCCACAGAAGACCTTTATGATGGGGCCCAGACTCATCTTTTATCTACTTAGCCCTTCGACTTTGACTTCCCACCATAAACAACATTGTTTATGTCTGGGAAAGTCACATTCTCACTCACCTTGAGTGATACAGGTGCTGTTTTCTACTTTGGAATATTATTTCCATCTTCACCTTCACTTCTCTGCCCCTTCCCTCCAGCCTGGCCTGGCCAACTGCTATTAAGATGTCATTCCCACTGTGAAGTTTGCTGTTGCTCCTAATCTGCATGGAGTGCCCTTTCTCTTGTTCCAGGAAGCACCTGTACTTCTCTGATCATGGCACGTAACATGCTGGACTGTAACTGCTTTGTTATCTGTCCATGCATACTACTTTCAACTCCAGGATGATAGGAACTGTGTCTTATTTACCATTTTATTTAAAATGCCAAAGTACCTAGCACACATCACATACACAATGACTTATTTTTATTTTTAATTTTTAGAGATGGAGTCTTGCTAGATTGGCCAGCTGGTCTCAAACTCCTGGCCTCAAGGGATCTACCTGCATCAGCCTCCCAAAATGCTAGGATTACAGGCATGAATCACTGCACCCGGCCCTGGATAATTTTTAAATTAGTACATGGGTATACACGTAAATGAGTAAATGAGTAGACAGAAAATATTTCCTATATTTTCCCTGCAATTAGTGTGCTGCATGGAAAAGAGGATCTCTATAAAAATCATACCCTTCCCTCCTATATCAAGTAATTGGAAAAATATTTATTTGAAAGGAAATAAAAATAAAACCATCGAAAAAATAACCAAAAGGAACCCCTTTTAAATAGACTTATTCATTGAGGCAAACCAATTATATAAGAGAAGTTTCTTTTCATTTTACCCTTGTCTCACTTCAACATCCTCTCCTGATGGTAGCATCACCCTTCCCTTCCCCCAATACCTGAAGTGTTCGGCTGACTTTAGTTGCTCTGAGCCCTCCACTCTAGTGGCCCTAGGGCTTGTATTCTCTGGGAAACTCCTCTGGTCCTGAGCCATCTTTATTCTTGCTTCAATCAAACCAAATTTCTTCCTACCCTCCTTGCAAATATAACCCTGTCTGATGTCTTAATGGCTCCTCATGGCTTAAGAAATTATTTTAGCATTTTAGAAGTTAAAATGCCTCAATTCAGTTGAAAGGTAGATAATAGTAAGTACTTGAGTAACTGTGACCAGTTACTGAACTTTAAGACACCCTTCAAATCATATTTTCCAGGCAAACTCTTTTCTTTACATTCATGTGAGGGCCTAGCCTGAGTTTTGAGAAAAAAACAACCAACAAACAAACAGCAAAACAAAATAAGAAAAAAAAAAAAACCACCACTGAAATATTTTGAATATACACATGAAATTCAATATTTGGTCAAGATGAGGATAATCTAAATCAAAATATTAAAGTGACATTAACTTGTTTCCTATTTATATTCATTAATGAAATACAGCAGCCAAGTTTTTTAAAAAGACAAGAGAAAAGTGAAAGTTTCAGAGGGGTGGCTTTGGAAGTTGACAGCACTAGGTGACAAGTGTTCAGGGGATCAGACAACAAGAGGGAATGATGGTGAAGAAAAGGAAAAGAAGGCTCAAAAATGGCAATCAAGAGAAGATAAAGGCAGAAAATAAATCTGAATCTATTACCAAAGGAAAGCAGAAGCTAATGAAAGTGGTAAAAATAAAAGATGGACCAAGTGTGCATAATGCAGAAATGTCCATCTGGCAGGTACATTGCGCATAGGCCAGAGGAGAAACCAACATGAGAAACACATCAGGACAAAGAAAAGGCCGGTGGTTGGGAATGGAGAAAAGGGATTCAACGGAATAAAAATTTGGCCTTAGGCTTAGTGTGGGAGTTGTGAAGAGTCAAATACATTTTTTTTCAAATTGATAAGTTCGAATATTGACAATGTAGAAATATGGTTTTGTTTGGAGATAAATATGAGGCGAAGATGGAAAGAAAGATTGAGGAATAAAAGTCTGTTCTCTTTTATTACTGAAAATCTCATTTGCCTAAGTAGTCTACTTGCTTTCTGTGCTTCTCTCTTCCGATTTTCCCTTTTTAATCTTAATCTAACTTGGCCTTGCTGAGACTTAAACTGGTGAATGGTTCTTCTTTCCTGAAAAGCTTTCCTCGCTTGATTCCTCACACTCTTCTCTCCTGGTTGCCCTTCTACTCTTAGCTCCTCCTCCATCTGTCTCTAGCCCTCTCCTCTTAACACTATAAACCCATCCTTGGCCATCTCATAACCTCACATCTCATAAACCCCTAAGCATCCCTAAGGACTCTCGTGACCCAGACTTCCCTGATAAGCTCTGAATCCATATTTGTTATTCTAGACAGTTTCATCACTATGATCTCCTGGCACTTCAATCTCCAGACTAGTACTCATTATCTCACTGTCCACTTCCTGTTCCTGATGGTCCCATGCCGGGTTCCTCTAGTATGATTTTGGTGTGTCTAGGAAAGATAACCCAACTCATCCCATAAAAAAAGAGGCTCTCTCCCAACGTGCTTTCTTTAGGCTGGTACAATACCCCCAACACATCACCTTAACATTATTGTTAGTTTGGAACTATAGATGAGCTGGTTTATTTGGCCCTAAGTAAGTATTGGTTCTCTCCAGTTGGAGAGAGAAGAAAGCAGGGTAAGAATATGGTAAAGCAGTGTAAATGAATATGGTAAAGGAAGATCACTGTGGAAGTAAATGGAAGGGATTTGGCCTGAATCTGAAAATTCAGTTTGGGACTCTTTAGGGGTGAAGGGGGTAGTAGTGGGAATAGAGACGAGAAAAATTTGTACGCTGAGAGAAACATTGGTGGGAGGCTGTTCCATTCAGATGGAGTGGAAGGTAGGTTTAATTGCTGCTATTGGGCTTTTTTACCTGATTTTTAACAGGAGGAATCCAGGAGGAATAAAGGGATTAGCCTGTGATAAGAGGGGATAAAAGGCAAGGATTACGTGGTCCTGGGGGACCCAGGGCTCCTGTTCATACTAAAGGGCTTGGTCTATCCTGAACAGGTTAACATCAACACCACTACGACCATATTTGGGGAGGAGAGCCATTTTTCTCCGTCTTCTCTCTTCCCCCACATAGAAAAGATTCACAAGAATTATCTCTAAGAACTTCTCAATGCAGCAGTATTAGACTAGACAAGCCACAAAGGAACAGGAAATAGCTTCCTAATTTTTTTTCACATATTTAATTCTCTACCGTTGCCCTTTATTTGGTGATAGTTTAGGAAAACTGAAAAGTACAGAAACAGATTAGATGAAAATCCATATTTAATCCTCCAGTTGTCAAATTTCCATGAATCTATGTTAATTAAATAACTTGAATCAGGTCCTCATTTACACATTTACTCCTTAATTATTGTGATTATCTTGACTTTAAAATTCTGCATCAACTGGAAATGAGTCCCACAAAACAAAAAATATTATGACATATCCATGTTGACATAAGAGGAAAACATGAACATTTCAAAGGAGTTTTTTCTCTTTTACTATGTATACATGTAGGAGGTTGAGTATGAAGTAACTATTCAAACATTTCAGAACTCGAGTATCTTGATAACCAAAGGAAGCATTTAAAAATTTAAATTATTCATATCTTTCATTTTCTATCTGGTGAGTGTAGACACCATTTTCAAATGCCTTACATGTCATTTAAAAAAACTTTCCTTAAAATGGAAATAAATAGCATAGTGAAAAAACTTAGCAAGAGAATAAAAGACTTTTACTCTTACAAATATACATTCTCAGTGGTATCTGATTTCACATCTTTTGCTTCCATTACAGCTGAGCAGAGCCCCATAAATGAGAAGCCACGAAGACTTGAGGTTATACAGTGATCCACAGTTGCCACAGAACTGAGCAGTGAGTGAAACCCTGGTGTCACACATGCGATTTCATCATGGGCTGAACTCCTGGTCCACTGAGCAGCATATTTAGTCATACATACCCATACTGTAGATAGCCCTATATTTTGAAATGACAGTCTTGATTTAAGTTTTGCTTTCTGAAAACGTACTTCAAAGATAGAGAATTATTAGACCAGGGCAGAGAAGATAGAAGTATAGTCCAGGAAGAACACTTTTGTTATTCATATATTTATATCAGTGTTTTTTAAAAAGGGACACACAAATAATATTATAGAGATTTAATGTGCAGTAGTGAGAACATAAGAACTATTTGGGACTGAGAAGTATATAATACTAAGGGATTGTGTGAATAATACTTAGATTCACTTATAAAGCGATACGTTTTTTATCAAAATAAGAAGGTGGGGATGCTGCAAACGTCTCATTGTTGGGCCTTCTTATAACTCTTGGGTATATTGCCCAACAGTATTACAATCATAAAGCTCATTGAGTCAAGGTAATGAAACTCAGGGAACATTGAATATATGCAATGTTTGTTTACAAAATCATCATGTGATAGAATAACAATAAAACACAAACATGTAGGTATTCTAAAAATGAAACACCATTAGTAACTCCAAAGTTAGTAAAGGATGTGGGCTTACCAAGAAAGCCATATAATTATATTTATATCTCAGTTTCACATCAAAAAGCAAATATTGGAGCAGTAATGACACTCCTTAGAAATGACTTGAATGAATGCTTCTGGAATCCTAAACTTCTTATAGTTTCCCAAGCTCAAATGCTGTTTCATACCTTTTGCTCATGCTTTTCTTCCCTGTGCCTTGAACACCTTAGCTTCTGTTTTTACCTAATTCCTTCTCGTCCATCTAGACTGAATTCTAACCAATTTATTTTTGGAAAGTCTTGACTGACTTCACAGGCTGGGTTAGGGATGCCTCTCCATCCAAAAGCATTCCAAGCATATTTCCAATCATGATAGTTCAAAGGATTTGCCACACTGTAAGTGATGTGAGGGCAAAGAATGTGTATACCTTTTTATCTTTTATTTCCCTGCTTTGGAAGAGTGTTTGTCACTTAGTGGGTATCCAAGGAAAGACTGTTGAACTAAACCAAACTGCAGCAGCAAACATTCCAAAAGTGTGAGGAAAAGGGAGATTGCCAACATACCATAGAGTTGATTTCATGCTATGATTAAATTGGAGGGCCTTGTCCATGAACTTACTCCATGTATCCTGCCTCTACCCTCTAATTTATGCTCCTTCCTCCTCACTGCATATTTCTTCCCAATGTCACCTGCTAACATCGTACTTATCTGCTTCCAGATCTCCATCAAATTTCTTGTTCTCCATGAATGTATTTTCCAACTGGATACTATTCCTCTGCTCTTAACCTATAGATTTTTTTTTCGTTCCTTCCTATGACATTTACCTTATTCAGCTTTGGGGTCTTATTATTTGTATGCTTATCTCCTCTCTATCTTTGTGCTTTTGCACTGGCTATGGCTAAGCTTTATGCATATTAAATATTCCATAAATAGCTCATAAAGGTCCCCAAACTTTTTGGCACTAGGGACTGGTTTTGTAGAAGACAGTTTTTCCACAGATGGGGGCAGGGAGGAGAGACAGTTTTGGAAGGATTCAAGGGCATTACATTTATTGGCACTTTATTTCTATTATTATTACATTGTAATATATAATGTATATACATGTATATATTATTACGTGTAATATATACAATGACAGATCATCAAACATTAGATTCTTATAGGGAGTGTGCAATCTAGATCCCTCGCATGCACAGTACACAATAGGGTTCACATTCCTATGATAATCTAATGTTGCCGCTGATCTGACAGGAGGTGCAGCTCAGCTTCACTCACTTGCCCACCACTCATCTCCTGCTGTGCAGCCTGGTCCCCGACAGTCCATGGACCAGTACCATCTGTGGTCTGGGGGTTGGAGACCCCTGAGCTATATGAACAGATTATAAAAAATATATCCCATGTTCACAATATTTAAATACAGTTATGTACTGCTTAACAATGAGGATACGATCTAAGAAATGCATTGTTAGGCAACTTCATCAATGAACATCAAATAGAGTGGACTTACACAAACCTAGGTGGTAGAGCCTACTACACACCTAGGCTATATAGTATAGCGTGTTGCTCCCAGGCTACAAATCTGCACAGCAAGTTACTGTACTAGAATACTATAGGTCATTATAACACACTGGTACTTGTGTGTCTAAACATATCTATACATAGAAAAGGAGTAAAAATACCATATGAAAGACAATGGTGCACCTTTACAGGGCACTTACCATGAATGGGGCTTGCAGGACTAGAAGTTGCACTGGTGAGCCAGTGAGTGAGTGATGAATGAATGTAATGGCCTAGGACATTACCGTACGCTACTGTAGAACTTACAAACACTCCACACTTAGGCTACACTACATTTATTAAAACTAGTTTTTTCAATAATAAATTAACCTTAGCTTACTGTATTTCTTTACCTTTATAAATGTTTACATTGTTAAACTTTTGACTCTTGTGATAGCATTTAGCTTAAAACGCAAATACATTGTATAGCTGTGCAAAACATTCTTTCTCCATATCCTTATTCTATAAGCTTTTTTCCTATTTTAAAAACATTTTATTTTTTATTTCTGAAATTTTTTTGTTAAAAACTAAGATTGAAACATACACATTATCTGAAGCCAACATAGGGTCAGAATCATCAGTGTCACAGTCTTCCACTTCTACGTCTTACCCCACTGGAAGTCTTTTGGGGCAATAACACACATGGGGCTGTCATCTCCCGTGACAATGCTGCCTTCTACAGTATCTCCTGAAGGACTCACCTGAGGCTGTTTTACAGTTAACATTATTTTAATAAGTAGAAGGATTACACTATAACAATAAAAGTATACAGAAGGAAATATATAAACCAGTAACATAGTCATTTGTCAATATTATCAAGTATTATTTACTATACATAATTTTATGTGCTATACTGCACTTTTATATGACAGGCAGCACAGATTTGTTTATACCAGCATCAACACAAACATGTGAATAAGGTGTTGCACTACCACTTTACGGCAGCTATGATATCACTAGGCAATAGGAGTTTTTCAGCTCCATTATAATCTTATGGATTATATAAACAGCATATATAAACTTATATGCTGTTCATTGTTTACTGAAACATCATTATGTTGCAAATGACTATATAGAGACAATTAACTAAACAAATGCTGTGAATCCTGATTCAGATTCCATACATTAAGAATTTGTGATAAAACACTTGATCTGGTTCTTTTATACATTCCATGTACATGGTGAGCCAATTTAAGAGGATAAACTGCACTAAAGGTCTTAGACCTATTTTATTATGGGACTGAAAACTACTAATATTAACCTATTTTAGCCATCACAGCAGACTTGGAAACATGTATGCATTAGGATGACCTAGAGTTTAGACTCCTCAGTAACCACTGATTCTTATTTGTGATGTTTTACATGTCCCTTCAAATTTGATTGTTTCTCTAATTTTGTAATAGAAACATTCAAGCCAGGTTGTCAGAATTCTTATCATTCATTTTCTCTCTTCCAAGAGTGTTAAGTGTTGCATTTCATTTTCATCAAAAGAGGATGCTAGTCCTCCACAGACTACCAGGTGTGACTCTAAGAATCCCTCTTTGTGGCCTCAGGGGTAGAGCCTGCCAGGATTCCAGAAAGAGCTGGAGTTAGGGTGACCAGGAGCAGGAAGCGGCCAACTTTCATCCGCCTCTAGGAGCTGCCCCTTGACAAGTCATTCCTGTTCAATCCACAAAACTTTACAGACTCCAAGTAAATGATGTGTATTTCTACGGTGTCCTTACAGATGGCTACAAGTTCCACCAAACCATGCCTGTGAAGGTTACTTCTGTAAAATCAGACATGGCCAATATATGCATCTGGACCCTCCTTCAGCTGTCCAAGGTCAAGAGGTCCTCAGCCAAGACAATTACAAGATATGGTCTCCTGAGTCTGAGTCTTCACAGGAACCTGCCCCAAGAGGCAAGAATGAGGGGATGCTTTGTGAGGAATTTCCTGAAAATCAAGGAGTAAGACCCAGAGGACAGGGGCAGTCTCTGCTCATTCTCCAGCCATGAGTCCACTCGGTCACAAAACAGGCCTGAACTCATTTCCTTTGCTGCCTGAGCTTTCAAGATTTCAAGATCATGGAAAACCTAAGTAGTCCCTGGGAATGAGGCATTTATGTCCTTATTCTTTGGTAAGTTCCTATTATTGAAGGAACAAATACAGAGGTCTCTGTCCTTATCTCCCTCCCCAAAGAACCTTGTCTTTTCTTTGGTGAAATCTACTTTTTCTCTCAGTAAGACTCTATGTAAGAGTTAGGAAGTTAGGATGTTTGTGACTTGTTAGACACTGCATCAAGGCCCATTTTTTTCCACCCACACCTTTGCCCTCTAGTTCCAGGCAAAACAATGAAGTGCATAATTTGCCCCTATGATCTTACTTCTTCACTGTCATTTAGTAGTCTCCCTTCCTTTATCTCTCAGGGCACCCCTTGGCTACACGGGTCTACTTGTAATAAAATATTTCAGAGTTGAAAGGAACCTTAAAAATCACCGATTATAACCACTAAACAGCTTCTCCTGAAATCCTAGTCCAACTTGCCCATACTGAAAGCTAACTGTTTTAGCTAATCAGATAAAAGAATCCATGCCAATAGCCTGTAAGAGAAGATTAAAGGAGATTCTTGGGCCTTTCTCTCCTCTCCCAGGCAACCAACATATATTTTAATTGCAATTCACTGGAGATAATGTTTCATTCAATATTTCAGGTAAGGAGAGAAGAAAAGAAGAGGAGAGAGGATGGTATAATGAAAGGATCAAGGAGTGCTGTTATTTTTTGAGCAAGTGAGACCATTTGTTTATTCTATACATAGGCTTTGACTCCATTTATTATTTTGAACAATCAAGAAAAATAGCTTTCTTGATGGTGGCAGAAGAGTGATATAGAAAAAGCTTTATTGATGGTGGCAGAAGAGTGATGTAGAAAAAGAGCAAGGATTTAAGAAGCAAGAATGTTGTTCTCAAAATTGAAACCTAACCTAGAAAATCACATTTGTGACCAATGATTAGAATGTCACTATGTATTTCTTTGCAAAGATACTCTCTTGCATAATTAGCCCTTAACAATAATAAAAGCAGGCATCTTCGAATTTATTTTTATATATGATGGTATATGGAAACAAGTTATACTTTATTCATGCATATGCCAGATACTCCTCATTTCTAAATTGTCAATGTTTTTATTGGTAAAAATCATATATATTAAAGCTACATTTTTGTTGTATATATTTAATATATACAATATGATGCTCTGATATACATTGTGAAGTGATTACTATAGTCAAGCAAATTAACATATCCATCAACTCGCACAGTTACCCTTTTGTATGTGTGGCAAGAGCATCTAAATTCTACTTTCTTAGCAAAAAATCCCAAATACAATACAATATTAACTGTAGTCCTCATGTTGTACTTAGATCTAGACTTGTTCATCCTACATAACTACAACTTTTTATCCTTTGACCTACATCTCCACGTTGCCTCCCTAATTACCTCTTCCAAAAAATTACCTTTTTGTCCAAACAATGCTTTACCTTTTTGTTGTTGCTGTTGCTTTTAACTTTCAAAAGTTAATTTCACATTTCATTTTTACCATGTTACAATCCTGTGAGATGGATGGCACTACTAATAAAGAAACAGCTAAAGAGGCACAATGAGACTTATCCAAGTTCCAGAGTTAGTCAGGGACTAACTAATTATCTGTGGTGCCATATATGAGCACGTGTCTCCTGGGTCCCATATCTGGGCTCCCTTTAGCCCAAAAATATAGCCCAAAAATGAAGTCTACTTCACGTAGACTATATACCTTTTTGTGGGCTCTCATTTGGGTCCTGATGATGGTCTTCACAGAACAGAAACTAATTGCAAAATAATCTGTTACCTGTTCTCATCAGTGTGCCACATATTCTTCCCCTACAGGAAACAGAAGCCACAAGTGCAACTGTCATGTTAATCACTTGACAAACATTTTCCAAGTGACATGAATATGTTAATTCCACTTCCATACAGTGTTTTAAGTATTCCTATGATGTACAAATATGCTAAATCTATCGAAGGCTGTTCTGGTGATCCAGAAAGTATTATAAAAGGAACAAAGGAAATGATATTTTCTCTTTCAGGAGGCATTAAAGATGTCTTCTTTAATAGTTATTACAATAAAGATTCTCTAACAACATATGCTAGGCAATAATTTTTGTCTTATAGAAATATGAATGTTTTCTAATGGAAGACATTTAAAATGCCTCAGTTGAAGATTAATTCAAAGAAAAGCCCTCTTTGGGATTCATCACAACATCTATAAGGTGGCATCATTTTTCCGGTATTCTTTTACTCTATCCTCTGCATTCGAAAGAGTGTATGTCCAACCTATAATTATTTTCTGCTAATTAGAGTAATTCATGGTTAATTATTCAAAATGATTTCTTTTCAAAATCAACTCCATTTCTTTTTCTTTCTTTCTTTCTTTCTTTTTTTTTTTTTTTTGAGACAGAGTCTCGCTCTGTCACCCAGGCTAGAGTGCAGTGGCGCAATCTCGGCTCACTGTAACCTCCACCTCTGGGGTTGGAGTGATTCTCCTGCTTCAGCCTCCTGAGTAGCTGGGATTACAGCCACCCACCACCATGCCTGGCTAATTTTTGTATTTTTAATAAAATTTTGTATTTTTAATAAAGATACATGTTGGCCAGGCTGGTCTCAAACTCCTGACCTCAAGTGATCGGCCCGCCGTGGCCTCCCAAAGTGCTGGGATTACAGGTGTGAGCCACCGTGCTTGGTCCATCAACTCAATTTCTTGCCATGACATTAAAAAAAAGATACCGATAAAATATTATCAGAATGAAAATTTCTGTCAGGGGAGAATATACTTTTTACTTTCCTTAAATAGCACTAGAATCATTCTTCACTAGGAAAGGTCCTATGAATTCCTACTTCAATTCATTTGGACTAGAGAAGGGCAAACTGAATCATGAGGTGATAACTATAAATGTTTTTGCTAATAATTAAGGATTAGTTGTATTGAGTATATAGGAGTAAGTAATTTTACTATTAATATATTCTTAAAGAAGAGTTATAAAGCAATAAGACCTAACAATGGCTAAGGGCTAACAGTAAACACAGTAGCTTGGGACCCTGGATGTCTTAAGACGTACACTGACTAGACAGTGTCTCTTTGTGGGCTCTCATTTGGGTACTGCTGATGGCTAAATCTCCCTTTTTGTCCTAATCTTGATTCCTCTTTTCAAAAAGCAGCTTCTTTCTTCTTTTATCTGCCTAGGAAAGTCCTGGGCCTTCATCTGTCTCTAAATTAAGAACATGCTTGCCTGCATCCTGACACTTTCCCCATTCTGACCTCACTTACTTCTCCACTTTGTTCTATTCTGATTGTCGTAAGAGACCCAACTATCCCTCCTAAGAGGGTGAGGTGCTCCTCTGCCTAAATTTTTCTTAGGTAATAGCCTCAATATGCATCTGCTCTGCACGGCCAAATTTTCTACATACATTTATTGAGTACCTTCAGTGTGCAAGACCTAAAGTTATATAATCTCCTAAAATGAAGTAAGTTGAAATGCCAATTGTGTGTGACACAAGGAATTCCATTGGATTAAAATGAACAGAGGAGAATAAAGTTATCGATGCATAAATTTAAGAGTAAAAAAAGGATTATTAAATTAGAAATGACATCACTTCTAGATTCAGAAGACAAAGGAGAAAGTTATAAGTCTTGGAAATACTGAAATTATTGCTAAAATAAACTGCTTCCGGTTTGACCAGGACTAAACAATGTCTTGTTCTTCATATTTAATGAAAACTTTTCAACTTAGTTTATTTGTTCTTCCCCCCTGTTATGGACTAAATGTTTGTGTCACTGCAAAATTCATATAGTGAAGTCCTAATGCCAACGTAATGGTTAGGAGGTGGGGCCTTTCGGAATTAATTATTCATAAAGTTGGAGCCCTCATGAATGGGATTAATACCCTAATAAGAAGAAATATGAGTTTGCTGTCTCTGCTCTGCTTTCTGCCATATAAGGATACAAAGAGATGCCATCCATCTGCAATCCAGGAAGCTGGCCCTTAGCAGACAATTGATCTGCTGACACTTTGATCTTGGACTTCCCAGCCTCCTCAGCTGTGAGAAATAGCTGTTTATTGTTTAAGCCACCCCAACTATGGTAATTTGTTATAGCTGCCTGAACTAAGACATTCTCCCATTGGGAATACAGCTCAACTTTTATAACAAAAATTGGTTTTAAAATCCCTTCATTACACCTTACATAAAAATTAACTCAAGATGGATTAAAGACTTAAATGTAAGACCTAAAACCATAACAACCCTAGAAGAAAACCTAGGCAATACCATTCAAGACATAGGCATGGGCAAAGACTTCATGACTAAAACACCAAAAGCAATGGCAGCAAAAGCCCAGATTGACAAATGGGATCTAATTAAACTAAAGAGCTTCTGCACAGCAAAAGAAACTATCATCAGAGTGCATAGGCAACCTACAGAATGGGAGAAAATTTTTACAATCTACCCATCTGACAAAGGGCTAATATCCAGAATCTACAAAGAACTCAAACAAATTTACAAGAATAAAACAAACAGCCCCATCAAAAAGTGGGTAAAGGATATGAACAGACACTTCTCAGAAGAAGACACTTATGTAGCCAACAGACATATGAAAAAATGCTCATCATCACTGGTCAGTAGAGAAATGCAAATCAAAACCACAATGAGATACCATCTCACGCTAGTTAGAATGGTGATCATTAAAAAGTCAGGAAACAACAGATGCTGGAGAGGATGTGGAGAAATAGGAACACTTTTACACTGTTGGTAGGAGTGTAAATTAGTTCAACCACTGTGGAAGACAGTGTGGCGATTCCTCAAGGATCTAGAACTAGAAATACCATTTGACCCAGCAATCCCATTACTGCGTATATACCCAAAGGATTATAAATCATTCTACTATAAAGACATATGCACATGTATGTTTATTGCAGCATTATTCACAATAGCAAAGACTTGGAACCAACCAAAATGTCCATCAGTGATAGACTGGATTAAGAAAATGTGGCACATATACACCATGGAATACTATGCAGCCATAAAAAAGGATTAGTTGATGTCCTTTGCAGGGACATGGATGAAGCTGGAAACCATCATTCTCAGCAAACTATCACAAGGACAAAAAACCAAACACTGCATGTTCTCACTCATAGGTGGGAGTTGAACAATGAGAACACATGGACACAGGGAGGGAAACATCATACACTGGGGCCTGTAGGGGGGTTGAGGGCTATGAGAGGGATAACATTAGAGGAAATACCTAATGCAAATGATGGGTGCAGCAAACCAGCATGGCACATGTATACATATGTAACAAACTTGCACATTGTGCACATGTACCCTAGAACTTAAAGTATAATAATAAAAAAGTTTTTAAATTTTTCAACATTTAGATTTTCACAGTAACTGTGACAGAAACTAGAAGAAAAAAAAAGGATCTAGTTAAGTGTGTCTTAGTCCATTTATGAAATAAACCTTTATTCTTTTCCGATTTGAGGAATATGTAAATTCTACTGGCTATTTTTGAGACTTTGACATCAGGATTTCATTTCAATGCTATCATCTCTTGCTTTTTTGGTAACTTAGAGTACTTTAAATTAACATTGTTTTATCAGAGTAATACATGCACATAGCTTTAAAAGTCTAAATAATACATAATGGAAAACATGTCATTTTCTCACCCTTCCCCATACCTCAAAGGCAACAAGTATGCACAAAGATCTGTTTCTTCTGATATTTAACTCCATATTTCTAAATAGTCTTCTAATATTTCTATCTCTTGACTCATCACTTTTAGATATTGATTATTTGCCATAGTGTAGCCACTTTTAACCATGAGGGGAAGACACCTCAGTATTACCAAGGACTCAGGCTTCCTTCCACTTCCTGTTCCTCCATTCTTAGTGTATGAGTCTTAGCTCCACGCTCATGATTAGCTGCTTTTCCAGAAGCTCTGCTCAGCAGGTTCTACCCACATCTCATTGGCCAGAACTAAGTCACATGACTACATCTAGACACAATGGAGTTTGGAAAAATCAGCACTTCAGGTTTTCAGTCCCTACCCTAAAGAACTCGAAGAAAAAGAGGGTTGTGAATGGCTTTTAGGTATCAGTCCACTGTCTGCCACAGTAATCATCCATGAGTTTTTCAAATGCTCTCAGCAGATCTGTTAAAAGCCTATCATATTTTCTGAGTGTTTCAGTACATCAACGAATATATCAGAATGCTTTTCAGTATGTTCTGTGTCATGGCACACATTGAAAATAATATTTTTATGGTTCTTTGTGAGAAATGAGAGGATGGAATTAAAGGCCTGAGGCCACTG